TTTTTGTTTTCTCCACCCAGGACAGGTGATTGAAAGTGTTAAGTTTTCAAACGAGTGAAAAGCGTTGTTGGTTTTGGGACTAAGAACCAAGTTGGTGTGTGATATAATCGCAACACCACCGCCGCGACCTGTAGCTCTGGCTTTCTGGTAGTTAACATGCGTCGGAGGAGTGCACTCATTCAATCTAACGTACTCGTCCTGTTGGAGCCAAGTCTCCGAGAGCGCTAACAGATCCAAGCCCTTGTCTATAATAAGTTCGTTTATGAGAAGCGATTTAGACGAGATTGATCTGACGTTCATTAAACCACATTTAACAACCCTACTGTTAGAACTATTTCTGTCTGTCTGAACTTTTATTAAGTTACTGTGTCTGACACCTAGGTCAGATTTCCTCGCATATAGTGCTTTAGACTTCAAGCGGGGAACACACACAGTTTCAATCTGACTAGGTTCTGAGGCTAGTAACTGAGCACACACAGGCACACACACACATGCACACACAGTTTTAATCTGACTAGCTTCTGAGGCTAGTAACTGAACAGATGGGGGCTCAGAGGTTGTGGCAGAGCAGCTCTGCACCCGGGCCTCAGTTCTGCATCGTCATTTGAGCCGAGCAGAACAGTTTAGAGCCAGGGCCAAATTCTTAGCCAAAAGGGATGTACCCGCCAACGTTGGGTGGATATCATCCGAGCGGATGAGACCGGGCTTTCCCCAAAAGGCACTCCAATTGTCAACATGAACAACACCACTTCGAGGGCACCAGCCAGACAGCCAGCGGTTGAAAGCCGAGTGTCTGCTGAATGCTTCTGCACTGCTAGTGCTAGGTAGGGGCCCAGAGAAGATGACAGTGTCGGCCATTGTGCTAGCCAGCTTGCACACGGCGGCGACTTGCAGCTTCAACACCTCGGACTGTTTCCGCCGAACGTCATTACCACCCGCGTGAATAACAATTCGACGGAAACGCTGCTTGTGGGTCATCATGAGCCTCAGATTCCCTTCAATATCACCAAGCCTGGCCCCAGGGAAGCACCGAACAGTGGCTCCTGGGATCTTAACACCTCTAACAATAGAGGAGCCAATTACCAGCGCATCAGCGACTCCATCGGCTCTCTCAGCAGCTCTCTCAGCGGCTCTCTCAGTGGGGCCTTCTTCCCCGCCCGGCCGCGCGGGGGCGCAGCCGGACAGAGCGTCCCAGCGATTGTAAATGCTAACAGGAGGAGGCCCAATGGGGAAACTACCAACAACACGTCGCCCTCTCCGAACAGTCACAAAGCCATCACTATCCTGGTCTTGTCCCAGCTGCGGAGGACGGGCTGGGAGGCTAGGCTCGCTAGTTCTCCTCTGCCTTTCCCTAAAGCTGCGCTCCGCTGTCCCTGAGGATACGGCCTGGCTGTAGCTAATGCTACCGCTAGCTCGAGACTCCAGTGCTCGGAGACGCAGCTCTAACTCACTGACCCTGGATTCCAGAGCTACGACTACACTACACTTCACACATCTATCACTACCCTCAGAGAAGGATCCAGGGTTTAGACTCGCCATATGGCAACTCGAGCAGTAAAGGATTGAGGGAGAGACAGCAGCCGCCATAGTAGCGAGTTAGCGGCTAGGCTAGGCTAAGCTAGGCTAGGCTAAGCTAGTACGGATCCGGGCCCGCACAACAGACTCCGAGACCAGACAAACAACCGCTACCTAAACCTCAGCTACAGTACAGCTGACTCGGAGTGCTTACACAGTTAGCTTGGTGTACAATACGTGGATTTGTAATGTGTTTGTTAGTGCAAACAGAGAGCAGAGTGATAGCAGTCAAGAAACACGCTCACCGGATACAGGAAGTCACGTCACTCCACTTTATTTCCTTATTATGATCAGAAGAGATAGACTAATTCATGACCAAGATGATCGTTTTATCTAATAGTACACCAGGACATATCTATAATAATCATTGGTTACTTAGGATTAGTCATTAATCTTGCATACATTGTATCAAAACCCACCAAACAGGGTCATGTGCCATCAGGAGTTCTTCCCCACATCTTGAGAACCACAGCTGCGGAAAGATAGCACAGAAAAGTCCAATGTAATTACTCTTGCTGGGCCTCTAGATAAGAAATCTGTGTTAATCACGGGCCCCGTCAAAGCTGGGCCTGAAAGCCTATACAGAGGTCCGCGCACTGACCACTGGGCCCTTTCTCTGGAGGGTGTTCTGGAGCGGGTCATGCCCCCTTCCCCGGCAGAGAAAAATGTCCCGGAGTAAAAAGTGGAGCAAAATAAAAAAGGACTACCCTCTATCCACCACCCTCCTTGTATCCAAAGGCCTACTCCAAAGGGACAGCCACTAATCTTCCTGAGAAAGAGATTTCCTTTGGCTTTCTTTTCTCTTTCTGCGGGCCTAAATGAGGCTCTTACGCCGCCGTGGTTCCTTCAAGCTGAGTGGGATGTGGAAAAGGAGGTTGGGAGGGGTGCGGTGGGTGATTTGGAGTGGGATTGGCCAGGGTTATATGCAGGGATGACCGCATTCAAGCCAAGACCTCCTTTTGGCCTTCTTTTTTTCAGGATTTAACTCTTTGGCCTGGGCACTTGCTTGAGAGGCCCAGAGAATGCATTGGCCTGATGTCTGGAGTGTTGTACTCAGCGGGATGGCGGGAGACAAAGCAGAAAAAATAATGGAGGTTTTTTATTTTTTTTGAGTGGTGGTTCGGAAATGGTTTAAATGATTATCAAAACAATGACTCATACATTTTTAAGGTGGCTCAACTTCAATTATTCGTCTTTCGTATCCTCAAAGAAACCAAAATTAATAAAGGGGACTTGTTGCGTAACAAAAATCCATCACAGAGTTCCCTTACTTATAACATCAAAAATAAGGGGATCAAGCCATTCAATTGTGCAGTTGGGGTACCTAACCTTTTTAATTCAGAGGACATTACAAAGTTATATATATATATATATATATACAGTATATATTTAGGGATGAGAATTTTTGTCTATTGGCTGAACTTATTACAAGTAAATGCAACATTTTCACAAAGAGCAATTTGTAAATAGGCGGGTGTGAGGGTGTTTATGGGCACATAAGCGACAGCAAATGCAATAATGACAATCATTTAGGAGCCATTGGTCCAAATGGGGCAGATTGCCAATGTCCATAAATGTCCATAAAAGTCCAGGGTCATCACTATCCATAGACCTTCCTGCACTCAAGAGAAAAACCCCAGTGGGAAAGAAGTGAGAAACCTCTGGGAGGCCCACATTGAGAGAGGGATACTGACTGGCTGTAGACCCAGGATTCAGGCTACAAACCCAGCTTTAATGCAATAGACCTTCCCCAATAGACTATAAATGCTGATATATATTTATCAAAATAGGTCATCTTGACAAATTTAAAACTCTTGGTTTCCAACTTTTGATTTGCTACTACTATGACAGTTCAATAATACAGTATGTGTCATATTCCTGAAAACCTTCGGTTATATAATCTTCCAGACTTCCAAGGCCACCAAGCATGTCACAGCTTTCACTTTGATTGCCCCACAGTACAGACTTAAAAAAGAATTGGGCTCTATCAGGTGTCATTTACAGTAAAATTTTCTAACAGCACGTCAATAATGCTTTTCCGGACACTGGAGAAGACCTGCGAGCAACAAGCTTACAGTAAAGGCCTATTGACTCAGGCTTAAACTGTTTGTTTTACTGTCAGGGTCTATAGCAGGGCGCTAACAGGAACCAGGAACTGTGCTTATCCACGTGGGGGGCATGTAGGGATATAGTTTCTGTCCCAGAAAGTATTTCCATTCGGACATTGTTGGTCAAATTTTCCATTTTGATCTATTGAAATAGGACATGCATGGGCAGGCTCAGCGACTGGGGGAACTGTGTCATCATGTCCCTGGTAGATCTGGCGGTTCTTTTGGTGTTTGTGTTTGTGAGTCGCTGCTGAGCCATGTCTTTTTTTTTTTTTACGTCAGTCTTATTCTCAACAAAGAAAACATATATTGATTGTGGTTGCTATGAGTGTGGGCATATAACAATGTCTCCACCTGTCAAAGGGGAGATAACATGCAATTTACAATCTGATGATCACTAACTGCTCTGCTCAGAGGGTAGCTGTGGGACTGAATATCTTCACTTTCATTATATTTGTTTTATTCATTCTTAGTTTATTTATTCTGGCCGAAAATAGTCACATTCAACCATCATGACAATGATTTGATGTGAACCCTGGGCCTCATTTTGTACTCTTAGTGTAGAAGCCAATAATAAAAAATGGGAAAACCATTAAAAGTTTAGCTCAGAAACATGCTCTGTCGATTTAACAACACTAACAAGAGTGAAGTGTTTATTGAAATGTCAGGAAGACCTACGCTTTAATCGTACAGCCTCATGAAAGCTTCTCATGTGGTCTGCAGACAAAACTCCCAACAATCTTTGGAAGGCCCATCCAGCTTCTATCTTCTTTTATGCTCTTCAAAGAGAGTCTGGATACGCACTGTCTGTAAATGCGGATCCCCTACAGTACAGAGGCTTTCTCACGCACGCAGGCCAAAGACAACACGTTACATTCCAGGCGGTTTACAAGCACTGGGAGAGACGGAGGAGGAGGCAATGTATGGATGCTTTAGGGGATTAAGCAGCGGTCGGCTCGCCTCCACTCCGAGACGCGCACCAGCAAATAGAATGCTCTTTCTCAGCATGCGTTGTGTAATCCATGCTGTGCTTCTTGAGACGACTTCCTGCCTGTTGTCCTCACGAGGCCGAGTCCAGTGTACCTTGGCACCGCAGATGTTGGTCCACATTATGGCCTGGAGGCAAAACGCAAACGCCACATCTCTAGTCCTGACTAGAACCAGGAAGTACGATCACATTAGTCCAGTTCTGCACTGCCTTGTGTGGCCCAGATAACAGATTTGGAAGTCTTTCCATGGCCTTGCACCAAAGACATGTGAACCACTTGGACTCTGAGGAGCACAGGGACTGGTATCCTGCTGGGACTCTGAGGAGCTTCACAAATCCTGGTAAAATGGAAAATATTAGTGAGAAGTTTACTGATATGACTTAATACTGAGCTAAGTTCTTTTTAACTCCTTAGATTAGCCTATTTAGACTGTATCATGTCAATATGAGTCTATTATGTTTAAACATGTTTTTTTTACATTGTCAGAGTAAAAGCCTGTGTAACATTTCCAGGATTTTAGTTGCATACATTTGAAATGTGATATGACATGGAAAATAAGACTAATAAAATAATTGGCATTAAAAAAAGGCCAATTATTTTTTAATCATCTCTCACTATCGGAGATGATTGCTTCCACAATACCATAAATACACTTATTTAGGGTTTTAATGCATTGTATTATCTTGTTTTTGTTAAGCACTTTGAGTTGCTGTGTGTATGAACGGTGCTATACAAATATACTAGTATTGTCCTGCCTATAGGTACATTGACCCATTTGCTTGTGTATGTTGTCATGCTAAGCACACTAAGATTACAACTATTTCTTTTTCAAACCTCCATTTTAACATCTAAATCAACAACAAAATCTCCTCCAAAGTGCATAATAGTTGTGTAACATATGTTACCAATAACTGACCTGACGTGACCTTGCGTTCGGGCCTATCCCAAAGCGTCTCCCCGGCTCAGCTACTTTCGGTGTGCTAATGTTAGCCCTAACACTCACAGTTCAAGTGAAGCAAAATAAACGTCAGAGGAGTTTAGACTGGTAAAACAAAAATGTGTGCTCGCTGTAAACACGGGCGGGAGGCGCTTGTGTAAACACGCCACGGTTCTTACGGTCGAGCGGGTCTGCAGGCGGACCGTTTGCGGTTTGGCTCTTCCGGTCCACCCCCCCTGCACGCCCCCCCCCTGCTCCGATCTCCACCACCTCCCTCCAGACACAGCTGTGGTCCGTCCTGGGAGGAAGAAAGGCATCAATTGCAGAGAAGCACGGGGCAAAGCTGTACAGACTGTACAATAAGTCACTTAATGACAGCCTGCTCTTGGACTGCAACTTTGCCCTTCCAAAGTACACTGCAAAAAATAATGAAATATGAGGTAATAATTGCTTGAATCAAGTGCAGAATGTACTTCTTGAATAAGTACATTCTGACGAGATTTCCCAATGGGACCAGTCATTTACTCTTATTTCAAGAACTGTTGCTTTATTTTCTCATTCCAATTGAGAAATTTCTTGTCCCTTTGGTAAATCTTTCAATCATTTTATTTTTACTTTTTTTTGATAACTTATTGCAGTGTATAACTTTTCCCCTTTTTTCACATGTTTACACATTTCCTGTTGTACGCACAATACCTGCATTTTTAGTAAGTAAGTAAGTAAGTTTTTATTTATATACCGCCTTTTCACTGCAGATCTGAGTCTCAAAGCGGTTTACAATTGTTAATTTAGGGCATTTGTCTCTCACTCCACACAGAGATGGGAGCAGGGTCGCCAGTACAGGAGGCGCATGCCAGAACTATTGGACATATTTTTAGTGGTAGGGGAAACCGGAGTACCCGGAGGAAACCTACGCAGACACGGGGAGAACATGCAAACTCCACTCAGAAAGGCCCTGGTCCGACCGGGATTCGAACCCAGGACCTTCTTGCTGAAAGGCGAGAGTGCTATCCACTCAGCCACCGTGCCGCTTAATTGATTTTTGAGATCAATTAAGTCTTATCTTATTTTATCTTAAAGTAAAATGTATCTTAAATTATGCAAGATTTTTACAGGCCCTAAATTTTGTTATTGTTTTCATTTTGAACACCCTACACCGTTTTACCACTCAAAAAGTCCGTGATCCGAGTTGCCTGAACTCACCGCATTGAGCTAATCTCATTGGTAAAGCAACATGTGGCCTACTATAAAAGGTCTAGTTATGATTCTCAAATCCTTAATGACAAAAAAGGAATAAAATAATCATTTCTATCATGGTCTTTGAGAAAAAAGGTGTTGGTTATTGATTTGCTCTTGACTAAACTCTTGTCTATTCATAAATTATGGTCTTTATGGTTATGGAAGAATGAGCAGGAGGCCACGTCTTCAGCTTCTTAAGCGATATATACACCAGCAACGTCAACCAATACGACCCAGCAGACAGCGCGGACCGACCAAGTGGCCCATAGCAAACAGCACATTCCTCATTGTGTCATTGTGGGACCTTGAAAAAATACCTATAAAGCAGCTTAATTTTTCTTGCGGCTGTTTTTGCGGAGTTGTCTGGGTCATTTCTATTTTTGTACACACATTCTAAACTATATTTTAACTGTATTGATAAGTTGATAAAGGCCCTGCGGTAGCGCTCCTTCTTGCACTGAGGGTGCCTCAGTCTTCCACTGAAAGAGCTTCTCAGCTCCTCTACAGTCCTGTGCAGTGGGTGGGAGGTGTTGTCCATGATGGAGGTGAGTTTGACTAGTACCCTCCTGTCCCTCACCTCTTCCACAGAGTCCAGGGAGCAGCCCAGAGCGGAGCTTGTTCTCCTGACCAGCTACTTGTGGCCTCTGTCTGTGGAAGGACCTGTATAAATAAAGCTTACTAAAATGCGTTTTTAAGACACTGTAATTCAGTTGTATTTTTGCGACTGAGATTAGACTGACAATTTAAAGATTTATAAGTGTTAGACAACTTTACAAACCACAGACTACCACAGTTTGAACAGGTCCAAATGATAAGAATACACACATTTTTCTGTAATAATGGATACACTACAAACGTAATAACAATTGCTCTTGTGAAATGCTTGAATTACAGGAGACATATACAGCAAAATAACTTTCTCTATTCTAACTTTTGATACAAACATGTAACCCTTTTAGTCCTTTTTTTGGTCATACATATAGACCTATGTGTTTGTTATTTTTGCATTTCTGTGTTTGAACTGATCAATTGTTTGCAAATCGTCAACTTTGTTAAGTCTTTGTGAGCTTTGTGAGATGGCTGCTGTTATATTGAGGCCTATATATATATATATATATATATATATATATATATATATATACTGTATATATTAGGGCTTTTTTGCATAGTAATGGTGAGTTAACTCACGATTACTCGCATCTTTAACATTCTATTTCAAATCCACTCCAATTGAAGCTAAATGAGATTATCAAATTAAATAACACATTGTCATTCATACCAAATGTACTTAAATCTGTTTGATTTGCTCACAACCTTTTACTTTTGGGCACAACCTAAATTAGCTGTTAATGAAAGGGGAGAAATTACGTACCCCAGCTTTAATTTAGCGAGTTTAGTTTTCAGGAGGAGACACGGTATTTGCGTGCACAGTTTACGCACAGGTTGCAAAGACACGAACATAACATGCAGAGAATAGTCCTGTGGCGTGTATGGTTTTATATGACTACGTTACCGCAGGGCCGTTCACCTTGTTGTTGTGAGCGGCTCACAGCCGCTGACAACCAGAGCCGCCGCAGCTGCCCCTAGGGTGTGCCCGGGAAGGCGGACTTCAGTTCAAACCATAGACTGTAGCCCTGCGGTCACGCGCGTTTTCTTTTAAAACTTGAATTCCCAGAGACCTGCTCTGTTGCCATCTCACACAGGCATGTGTACGCGGCATTTTGAGGGATAATATGGATAACTGGGCGGGTCCTTCGGACATGTGTTAATGCGTTATTTTAATTTTTTTTACGCGTTGATGAAAAATGTAATTAACGTGAGTTAACGCAATAATTTTGAAAGCCCTAATATATATATATATATATATATATATATATATATATATATATATATATATATATATATATACACACACAGTGTATATACACAGTACAGACCAAAAGTTTGGACACACCTTGTTCAAAAAATATTTTTTTTTGTCATGACTATGAAAGTTGTAGATTCACACTGACGGCTTATGTACATGAAAAAAAAACGTATTAAACAACTGAAAATATGTCTTATATTCTCAGTTCTTCACAGTAGCACCTTTTGCTCGGATTACTGCTTCGCACACTCTTGGCCGCTTCTAGAGTTATTGACCTGAAATGGTCTTCCAACAGTCTTGAAGGAGTTCCCAGAGAGGCTTAGCACTTGTTGGTCCTTTCGCCTTCACTCTGTGGTCCAGCTCACCCAAAAACAATCTAGATTGGGTTCAGGTCCGGTGACTGTGGAGGCCAGGTCATCTGGCCCAGCACCCACCACTCCATCCATCTATCCCTTTTCTTCTTCTTAATCCATTTCTGGGTCGGGGAGGGTGGCAGTCGGAGCTGCACCTAGTACACATAGCACCAGCCCCTCACTGATCCTCCTGCAGGTGGTGAGTCCACAGGAGCCTTGATCTTTCGGCGGGGGCTTCAGGCAAAGTGGGGTTAAGTGTCTTGCCCAAGGACTCAACGACAGCAGTCATCAGTGGGAGTCATGTAGGTCTTGTGGTGGGCTTGAACCCACAACCTTCAAAAGGCCAATGCTCTACCAACTGAGCTACTGTCGCCCCACTCTCCTTATTGGACAAATAGCCCTTACACAGCCTGAGTGTGAATCTACAGTCAATAGTCATGAAAAGAAAAGACACTCATTGAATGAGAAAGTGTGTCCAAACTTTTGGCCTGTACTGTAAATATATATATATATATATATTGAATAAGATCAGAAAAGTCATCTGTCATCTACTATAGCCTGCTGAACTTTATGCAACACGGTTCTAACTGATTTTCAGGCTGACCTTCAAATGGCAACTTCCTGGTTCTTATGCAAGAACTTTTCTTTTTGTCAGGTACATATCATGGCTTCCCACCTGGCTGAGCTCCCTTTTTAGTCAAGAAATTATAGGATAGTCTACACGCAGCTGTAACAACACAGCATTTTATAGTGGAATCTTTGTAATAAAATGCCTTTGCTCGTCCAACCTCAATTGCTTACTATTGGTTTGAGGCCATTGGAGACTGTTATAGAATTACATACCCCACAGCAAGGAGAAAGCCCAAAAGTATTTGTCTTAAATCAGGAGCGTAAGTTTATTGTAACGCACGTGCGGAGAGCTAGCATATCCAACAGGCAGCAGCATACCCAGCTCTGGCTCGCAGAGCCCCGAGTTTCCTGTTTACTAGACACACACGAAAGACAGTCCCGCCCACAACAGATCGGAGGGGGCCACCGGTGCAGGAGGCGCATCGGAAGGGGCGCCTTCCCCTGTGGTGACAGCGGCATGGGGTGCGAACAGACAGACAATGGCAGAAATGCAAGCACACAGATGCGAGACGCGAAAGACACAAGGGTGTGACAGACAGCAGGGACCCTCACAAAGCTCAGCATGGCGTCAGAAGGTCGTCTCCGCATCGAAAAATCCTTTGACGTCCGTGTATTTGCTGCGGCTGGTTTTATGTAATTACTCCAAAAACTGTCACCACACTCCCCTCTTTTGATAATTCAAAACCATTTTTGCATTAATCAGTTAAATACCAGAGGCATCGTAATCACACCACCTTCAAGCTTGAAACACTTAAATTATTGCTGTCCAAAGTGGACAAGAAAAGAAACATGCTTGTCAATAAAAGAAAGAGCACATTATAATAACACAATGGATCCGGACAGCGATAAGAGAAGGCAATATTAACATAATAAACACGGTCAGCACGGAAAGTAGTGTCAGTGTGGCCAGCATAACAGTCCAAGGGCCCATGCCGGTCTTAGCCGGGCTACGTTCGGTAGTCTTTTCCGCGGGAATACTCACGAGCAGTGCCGTCTCGCAGTCAGTGGCACCGCTCCCTATGAGCGTGTGTGGAGCGTTAGTGGTCATGGCGATGTTTGGTCTTGGAGCGGCAAGCCTCTAATTGCGTTGAAGCCTTGGCCTCAGCACTCGGTTGGGCAGAGTGCTCGGGGTTTGGGGTGTGGAGACCATGGCTTGAGCACGCTCCAGATCGGCCAGGCCCAAAGCTCGTTTGATGGGAGACCTCATGACAGCACGCTTCACCATGTG